CCTGATCATATCTACTGGAATAGGGAAGAAATTTTATCATCAAAATTTTCTGCAGGATTGCTTATTCTTAATAATAGATACTCTATTTTGTCCATAACAACACCTTTCTCTCATACCAGCCTGCACAGCTCCTTTTTCTAATATTTCACTCTCAAGAGCCCCTGCTTGCACTTCTGCTTGGTAGCTCTTGTTCTTACAGGTAGCTGTAGTGTATTCAAAGAAAGAAAGCAAAAGCGAGGCTTTCGGAAGAAGAGAGTCAGGCTACTTCCCCTTCTATCTTAGATATCTTTATATAGATATTTACAGTGATGGCAAGTGGGTGGTAAATAGTCTGTAAATATTCCCCTTATGTCAGTGTTCATTCATGGGTGTAACCAATAGACAAAAGAAAGGTGGGAGGCATCAGGGATGAGAACCTCCACATTCCAGGACGTATACACCAACATGCCTTTAAGCAGCCCTGCTCTCTGGGATCAAGCCCCATTCTTTTCTCTTCTTTTTATTTCCACTGACTGATAAATTAATCACAAATCTTAGTGATAGCCTTTCAACAATAGGGGCATCCTGACTGATCACTACAGACCTTTTTTTGAGCTAGCTTGATAGTGGCCATTAATAACATGAGCTGCCACCTCTGAACAAAAGAGAAAAGGTGAAAATGTATATCATTTGGGTTGCTGACGGAGTCCCATCCTCCCAGCCCACGTCATGGGTGTGTTCAAGGAATTTCTCATGCATGCTCATGTGAACAACCAGTATGCAGTCAGGCAGTTTCCAGTAAATAGCTCTAAAGACTTCAGAGTCACTGCCCTACAAAAGTCCATTGTTCATGTGCATGATCTGCCTCCCTACCCGTTCATTATAAAAGCACAGATCACAACAGTGGCATGTTTATTTTAGCAGGGTGTTAAGTCTAACCGAGTCACAGTCCCTGGTTTAGGCTTAGAAATGGGATTACAGCAGCTATTCTGAAACATCTAAACAAGGACAAGGCCCAAGTACTACATCAATGCTCAGGCAACAGTTTTGAGGAAGTAGAATGTCACTGGGCTGAGTTTGAACCAGATAAAAGCATTTTATTATAAGAGAATGAATGGAAGACCACTCTGGTGGAGAAGCAGGGGCCTGTTAACAGGCAGCTGTCAGCCCGGAGAGTCTGACCTCTTTGGCTGTGCTCTGTGGAGAGGCTGGCTGCTCTACAGGGCAGTGTCTTACCTTCAAAACATTTGAACTTCTCCCTAGGCAAGAATTAGTGTCTGTGAATGCTCTCATACACAGGTTCATGCATTGGAAACTCCAGCCAAAAGTGGTGCAAATCTCAGGAGGTGAGTAACAGCTATAAGAAGTCCAGCAATTAAAGGAACTGTTTCTCCACGTCATCAACATTTATGAGTGAGTCTGGATTGGCATCACATTATTCTATCCTAAACTGAGTTCTGTCTTTATTATAAAGACAGTATTGGTTATTTGGAGAGCTGCATTCAGCAGAGCAGACAAGTGTCATGCATAGGGAAAGTCTCCTACGTGACTCTAAGGAAAAAAAGTCCATTTCATTCAAGGCTGTACCCTCTAGGATCTATTTCTCTTTCTATCATGACCTGTCTCCCAACCCAGAAGATAAAGCGTCTGTTCTCCTCTTCCCTAAGTAATAGGGAGTAAAACTGGAAGAAATGGACCTTGTGAAAAATTAAGTGTGGTGTTAAAAAAGGAGAGAGAGACACCTTACAGCCAGTGAGGCGAAGAGTAGTGTAATAACCTGTGCAACAAGAGCACCACCTGCAGTTTTCAAGCCACTCCCTTAAGAATCAAAAAGTCTGCTGGCACTCAGATGAGGTAAGAAGGGAGAAGCAGAGAGACAGAGGCAGGGAGATGGCTAGGGAACAGCAAAGCAGGAATGAAGGAAGGATGGCATACATCAAGGGCATAAAGGAAGATTGAGGTAGACAGTTTGGTTCCTTTGGAGAAAGACAGAGGACATCAGCAGATAGGGTTCAGACAGAAGTGGCATACACATGTCTATACAGCTATTTATGCAGAGGGAATCCTGGAAGAACACATGAAAGGGCATCTGTGGATGCTTTGCCTGGTGTGAGAGAAGTATTTGAAAGAGGAGATGGGAAATACAGGACATTTGGAAATGAGACATGAAATACCAAAGAAGGTTGAGATGTTCAAACCTTGATAGACAAAATGGAGCCACTTACAATTCTTGAGCCTTTGACACTACAAAAATTATTTTGCTCCAACTTTGTGGGCAAAATGTGCTCAGTGACTGGCAACTCCATTACAACCCCCCTCCTAGAAGAAAACAGATTTTCTTGCTTGTTCAGTTCACTGTTACCTCACTTTCAGATTGTGATCTTCTCTCAACATGTAACAGGTAGTATTTTCCAATGCCCTTGTCCGAAATGACTGGGCTTTGCAGGACATGTCACATTTAGTCACTCCTGCTCCAAATCCAAAATGAGCAGGGCACAAAGACAGGTGAAGGAGGAGGAGAATAAGGAAGTAACATGGCCAGGCTTTCACAGCAAGAGAGGAGGTGCTGTGTTGACAGTCATCCTTTCTACAGATATATTCAAGGGATACTGTGTACCACCAAGGAAATAACCAATTGAAAGCCTCCTAAGACAGAAAATCCTATGATGAGTATCCTGGGTGTTGTGGGGCTTTCTTCTGTTATTGTTAAAATTACTGCCTAAACAATAAATTTGACTAGAGTAAATAGGGAAATTATGAAGCACAAAAGCATCCAAAGATTAGCCTCTGGTGCTATAATCTTTTGAGCAAAGACTGCCCTCATTTACCCTGAGAAAATAAACAGGTGAAAACAAATGTTATCAGCTGTGGAAGGGAGTAATGAATTTAACCAGCCTCTTCCATCTCCCATATTTATGATTGTGCTCTGCAAGTAGTTTTCATTTGGTGGCTGCAGTCTTCTGTGTGAAAATTAATCCCCAAATACAGCACACAGGTCCTGAGACTCACTTAATCTCGGACTGGCAGAAAGAATGAAAGAAGTGTCAAGGGTGATACACAGCAGGCCTGCTGGAGGTTTAGCTACCTGGTACCAAAGGAAAAGATTCTTGGCCTTATCAGATCCCGTTGGTAAAGACTCTGCACATTCCTAAGGAGGGGCTTGGGACCAATCAGTTGGATAACCCACAGCTCTGGACAAGGGATGTAAAACAGGCTGAATGCCTTTGATCAATAGAAAGAAGAGGAAAAAAGCCCTACACGCACAAATTACCACTATCCCCTACATGCTCTCTAATATTATGCTGCTAAGAAGATGTGATGAATTAGGAGTCAGGAATTCCTTCAGAGCAGAAGTGCTGATCAGATAACCTGTCCAACACTGCATTTTAAAAATAGTGTCCAGTTGATGATGATTTTTTAAAGCTTTCTTGTTATTACTGATAATGTCAAGAAAGAGAACTAAAATAAATAGTGCTCTTTGCACTATTCTTTGCAGGTTCTTGCCTGTGCTGGAGTGAGTGATAATTGTGCTTTTGTTTAGGATAGGCATTATTCTTACATATTCTCAATAATTTTTTTCAGTTGTTTTAGACCTGTGACTGCAAATTCCTAGAATTTTGCAGACCTTTTCTAAGGGGTCCAAACCAGAAACAAGCATGTTATCACCAGGTGTAAATTTCTTCTGAAATATTGTCACGTGAAAATTGCAAAGATCCATAAACCTGAAAAGATGGGAAAAGTACCACCAGTTTGGTCTAAGCTCCTTGTAAAGGCTTACAAACACTGCCAAACAAGAGCAACATTGTGATCTCATTCAAGGAGTTTGCATGCTGAGCATAGTAGCCTGTAAAATAAAAAGCCATTATCTAGACTTACAACATAGAAGTTCCAGTAACAATAGAGAATTAAAAGATTTTTCTTTTCTGCATTATTTCATTCACAAAGATTATAAGGCAAAAGAAGAAAATGAAAAGGCACATACTACAATGTTCTCCAAAGCAGAAACTGTGACCTCTTAAATATTTTAAATGAATTTATGCATTAAAGCTCCCTCCCCTTACCCGTGAATGTCCCTGTGGGAAGCAAAGTTGTGCCATCTAGTGGGATTTAAACCAAGTCTTAGCTGTGCATTCTCAATGGACACTGTGGACACCCTGTTTACATAATAGCATGGACGTTTTTGGATTCCACTTTGCTCCCAAGTTCAAATCCCTCCTCTGCCACAGATGCGGAAAGGGTCCATTCACCCTACCAGTCTTAGGGCCAGAGAAGGGGAGGGGAACTTGCTTTTTCAGTTATCTACTCAATCCACCTTTCTTTTTTTTTTTTTTTTGGCTTCTGCATTGATGAGAAAGATGGGGGAAAATCATTTTCATAAGTATGACTCAGTGTACTTGAGGGACCAAAGCCCCAAGGTTCCCTATGAATAAAGGCTGTCACACTTGCCAAACAGCCAGCAGCTTTGGGACTCTGTGCTGCCCAGTTATGGAGTGGTGTATGCAGACAGAGCTGTAGCACAATCTCATTTCCTAGCATGCTTTTGTAATCATAGTTAAGCAAGAGGCTTGATATAGATTTGAGTACAGCATTTAATCTTTGTCCCTTATGGACTTGTGTATCTTTATGACAGAAAGTGATTTCACAGCTTGCAATTTTTTTCTTCTGTGCTGATCATAGTGGAGAGCCATATAATATATTACTTCAGTACTCAAATAGATGCAAGTGTTGCAAGAGACTCATATACCTCTGTAAAAAAACATGATAGGTGCCCTTGGGACTGCTGGCTATTGCCTGAGTAAAAACAAGTGAATGAGTAACAACTCCATAAGAAGTTTTCAGTACTACTTAAAAGTAAAGTTCACTGGTCAGTCTTCAAATAATTAGCAACTCTCTTCTCTACAAACACAGAAAAAAGTGACCTTTTCCAAGGCATAAGCTGTTTTTCTCCAACTCAAATCATCCCCTGGAATAACTGGATCAGCTTTGTCCACTGGCAGACCTTTTGTCTTCTGTGAATCAACATGGAAAGGAATCTTAAGAATGTTTTGGTCATTTCTTTTGGATTTTTATTTCTCTTTACTGCTTACTCAGGACTCCAGAGTCTACAGGTAAGAGGGGAATCTCCCATTGGCTATCAGGACAGCTGGTCTGGAAGGGCATCAGGCTAACTGGTAGTGTGAAACACATCAGTCTTTCCATGGTGTCTGTGAGGAAGGCATGCACAGTATTTTTTATGAGGTGGGTTAGGACATTACCTTGCTGCAGGTTAATATTTACTAAATATTATTTATTCTAGTATTTCTCAAATAGCTCACATACTTATGTCACGCTACTACTCTAGATCCACAAAATTTGTTTCAATGGAAACAGAAAACAAAATTAACCTGAGATGACTTTTCTCAAAAGAAGATATTGTCAAATGGGAAACAATTCAGTTTCTGGAAAGGATTTGTTTTGAATATTTCTAAATTGCTGAGATTTTATAATAATTATTATTGTACAGCATTGTAAAATAATTAAAAATTATGACCAAACCATTAAATAATTTAAGTGTAAAATAATATAGTAATTTCTAGGCTCATGATATAACATAATAGTAAAAAAATATCATTTTTTAATAAGGCAGTTGTGGCTTTACTGGCATTAACATCCTAAAACATAGTAGCAGAGATGGGTTTCTAGAATGACTTGAATACTCAGATTACCATTAGAGCTCACTTGCTCATCTAAAATAAAAGACTGAGGGTTTCTGTTGCTGACTACGAATTCTTCTGAGTAGATAAACACAAGGAGAAATTTGCCAGCCTAAAAGGCTCTGCTGGTCTAATGGCTGATAAATGAATAGAAGACATTGACAAGCAACTTTAGGCAGGATATTAACGTATGTATTGAATTTTCCAACTGGAGTGGGAATCCGTATGCCTTAAAGGTGGAACTTGATACATAACATGATGAACTTGTTTGCAATAATAATGAGCTTGACCTCTTTTCAGGAAGAGGCCCGTCCTTGTTCTGTACATCTCTCTTCTCTCCTTGAACAGATTTTCTTTGCTGGCATTGTCAGATTCTGAACTCAGAGCCATTCTGCAAAAACAGTCCCAAAACTGGATGGAGATATTTTGGGTAGGGGAGACTAATGAGGCAGGGGAGAATAAACCCTAGAAGCTGCAAATCAGTCCCACCCCACCATCTGAAACAGCTGGTTAGAGCTTGGTGTTGATAACACCAAAGTTGTGGCTTCAATGCCCATACACTGACCATTTACTTAAGAGTGATAATTGATGATCCTGTGGGTCCCTTCCAACTGAGAATATTCTGTGAACCTGTGAACCTCTAAGTACTGGAATATTAAAAAATTTCATAATTAATTTCAATAGTTCCCCGCACAGCCCCCCCCCCCCCAATAACAACAACAACAAACAACAAAAACCCCCAACATAACAAACAAACAAAAAAAAACCCAAACAAACAAAAACCCAAAACCAATAACAAAAATACAAAACCCCAACAAAACCAAAAAAACCTAGACAGTAAAAATCATATGATTGTGGAAGCCTGACTTTTAATTTTTGGAAGTTGTAGCTGGCAAAACCAGGCATGTGATGTTTCAAAAATAAGACCTCTGAGATCAGGAAGCCTCTTTGCCTGTTTACAAAACAACCATTCCAATTCTCAAACGCCTTTCCACTGCTCTAACAGAGACTGTCCTCACCTCACTGTCCTGGTCCTGGCTGTCTCCAAGTGTGCTGCATGACTGCCACCATGGTCCTGCATGGCCAGACTGCACAGCCACTGCAGGCTTGGAAAATGTTCCATGAAGCCACCAGCAGCTTCATTCCCCTACAATGCTCTCCAGTGCCATGCCCTCAGCATCCAGTCCCCCTTCCAAAATCATACTGAAGTATCACCTATTAATCAAAACAATCAGGGAAACCTTGCTAAGCAGCATAGAATTGCAGAATGGTTTGGTTGGAAAGGACCTTAAAGATCATTGTATTACAACCCTCCACCATGGGCAAGTGCATCTTCCACTAAACCAGGTTGCTCAAAGCTCCATTCAGTCTGGGCATGAACATCTCCCAGAATGAGTATCCACAGATTCTCTGGGCAGCCTCTTCCAATGCCTCACCACCCTCACAGTAAAGATTTTCTTTCTAGTATCTACCCTAAATCTCTCTTTTTGTTTAAAACTATTGCCATTGGCTTATGACTATCTGCCCTCGTGAAAAGTCACATCTCCACTTTTTAATGTCCCCTTTGAGTACTGTAAGACTGCAATGAGGTCTTCCTGCAGTCTTCTCTTCTCCTGGCTGAACAATCCCAGCCCTCGCATCCTGTCTAGGAGAGGTGGTCCATCCCTCTGATCATCTTCATGGCTCTCCTCTCCAACAGGTGCATGTCCTTCCTGTGCCAGGGACCCCAGGACTAGATGCAGTGCTTCAGATGGGGACTCACCAGAGCAGAGTAGAGGGGGAGAATCACTTCCCTTGCCCTGCTGGTCACACTTATTTTGGTGCAGCCCAGGATGCAGCTGGTCTTCTGGGCTGTGAACACACACTGTTGCTCTTGTCCAGGTTCTCCTGCACAGAATTCTCAAATCCTCCCCTGCAGGGCTACTCTCAATGAGTTCTTCTCCCAGTCTGTACTCATGTCTGGAATTGCCCTGACCCTTGAATTTGGACTTGTTGAACCTCATTAGGTTTGCATGGACCCATTTTTTCAAGCTTGCCCAGGTCTCCCAAATTGATCTTCTCATTTCAACTTTCAGAGCATCAAGACAAGAGAACTAGTTTGAGCATAAATCTATAAAACATGGTTAGATCAGTAAAATGTTATTCCTTCTTTGTGAAAATGTGAGTGAATCAATTACTTCCAACTACCAAGGGCTGCTGCAAACCTATTAAGATATGTAGACCTTGGCCTCTCAAAATCTTAGAAATTATCAGACCTGTAGTTTAAAGCAAAGATCTCCCACTATTGCTATGCTAGCCCTTGCAATGCAGATCTGAGAATACTCCTGCCTGAGATGACAAATGAAGGCCAAGAAAAGAGGTTATCTTTCATTCAACCTGCTTTCAAAGAGAAACTCAAACAAATAACATGAAATAATCTAAGGAATGACTTACCAAAGCTTAAAATCTGGGCAATCCTCACTGGTTTTGTATAACGTTTTCATAAATGGTCTATAATTTTGAAGAAATTTCCAAGTCCATAATCAGGCTCTTTTGGGGAAATGAGACAATAATACCCAATCCCAGATGCTGTGTCTCTTTATTTCTGCCTGAAGCCACTCCCTGTACACCACAATAATATGTACCTGTGATAAAATCTAATCGCTGTTTTTGTCCCTGCAGAGCAGTCTCAATGCTGAAGAAGGCCTGGGTGTTGCTTCCCTAAGTGTTCTGTATGCTGCGCTCACCTTATCCTCCATGTTCCTGCCTCCAATCATCATCAAGAAGCTGGGCTGCAAGTGGACCATTGCAGTCTCTATGTGCTGCTATGTCACCTACTCCTTAGGGAACTTCTATGCTAGCTGGTAGGATTTAAATACTTTAACCCTCTCTGTTGTGTTCAAACAAAATAAGTAAGGGCAAAGTTCTTTCTTCTGCTGGATCTTTGGGCAAATGATTATTACGCTAATGGTAGCAACTATGTTAACTAAAGTGTTCTTTGGCAGGTACACACTTATCCCTACCTCTATGATCCTGGGCTTAGGAGGAGCACCACTCTGGTCTGCCAAATGCACTTACCTCACTATTGCTGGCACTTTGTATGCTGAGAAAGCAGGAAAAAATGCTAAAGACATTATCAGCCAATACTTTGGGATCTTCTTTCTGGTGTTTCAGACTTCCGGCATCTGGGGAAATCTTATCTCATCCTTGATACTTAGCCAATCTTCCAACCAAGGTAAAATGTATTTTAAATTTTGGCACTTCTTTCTATAAACATCAACTAGTTCTAGATAGATAAGGGTAGATTTCTGCAGCTGAGCTTTCATAGTCAGTGGAAACAGGCACTTCAGATGAGAGTTAGCCCATCTGAGGATAGATGTCTGAAATAGATGAGATAAATTTCTCTTTGAAAGTGTCTATTTTCTATCAAAAATCAGCCATAAAGAGAGTTCAGATAAATAGCTAAAAAATAGAACTCTACTGAATTCGGTTTGAATTCTACTCCTGTATTGCAAAGCATAGATTGGCTGCAGGCAGTGACAGTCCTTCACATCTGACTTCTATTAAAAGTGGTTTAAAACAATAGACAAAATACTGAACCAACCTTTTTGCAAAGCTTGTAGTATTGGGTTAGTTTGCTGTTATGCATTCAAAATTTTGAATTTTTTTCTTTGGGCTTGCTGAAAATGAGTGCTCTACAGAGCTGTCAAGAAGAAATAGCCGTAGCTGTTGGCAGGAGCCTGTGTGCCAGGGCTGCTCTGCTGTATTTCAGGCTCAGACAGCAGATGCCAATGTAGCTTGAAGAAATCACGGAGCAGCGGTGCCCTCATTTCCCATGCGTATAGTTGGTGTCAGTTTTAAAAGGGTAGTTATGGAAATAAATTAATATTTGGATGCCACCTTAGAGATTCAAAATGCTGTGGTGTCTTATCATTGCAGTCTCCTGCATATCCCACATCCTGTCAAAATCAAAACAGGATTGTTCTCCAGACATGGAGAGAACTTTCCATATACACTGCTACTGTGAGTAGCAAGAAGTTACCTCTTTCTTGTCTCAGTTAAGCAGTATGTCCTCTGAAGAGCTCTCAAATAGCTACTAGATTAAAGCTAAATGTCAGGAAGCTGGCATCAGGTTTTCATCTTTGTATCTTTGGATTTATGACAAAGTAGTTGTCACAAGGTGTGATACTTCTATAGAATCATCCTTCCTTTAAACCTAAGTAACTGTAGGTGAAGCACCATTAAAGCAGAATGCTAGCAGACTTTTCAAGTGCAGTGGAGCCCTGCTGACCTGATCCCAAAGCCACATGATATCTCAGGAGGAACTGTCTGTTCTGATTTCACTTGCAGGGTAGAGGCAGTGGTGCAGCTGTGGGGTCTGTACAGACTGCAACCATTTGACTCTCCTCTGCCTCACAGCACCCATAATTTTAACAAGAGAAATAAAACACTGTTTTTTTGGTCTTTTAAATCCCTTCCTACTTTTACTTTTGAGGATGTTCCTCCAAATTTTAAAGACACTTATTTTTTTATCTATTACACAGAATTTCAGAAAATGCTGCCTTCATGTGAACAGCTCTCAAAGCACATCTTCACAACAGTGATGAGCAGTTATAACATAAGTTTCTCTACTGTGCCTTCTCAGTGAGACACAGCTTTAATCTAGAGGGAACTTCTTTGCTGGGGCGAGAGTGTAAGAATCTCCAGTCACGCAATTCTTTTTTTTTCTTCTGAGGCTTGTGCAAAGGCATCCATTCATATTTTCATGTACTTAAAATATATCATTTCGCTGAGCAGTAGGAAAGATACAGAATGTATCTGGAGAATCAAAATGCATAAAATTCAGACATGTACCTACTCTAGACATATTGCCTGCATCACTGCATCCAGACGCAGCAAGGCAAAGTTACACCATATGGTAATACCACAAACTGAAGACAGTAATCAGTGTAAATTACAAGAGTCATCCTTCCTCACTCAACAATATTACAGCTGTAATTCAAGAGAAGCACTGCAAACCTGGCCTTGCAGCTTGCATATGACTAATTGCATGCGCAGCTTCATCTTCAGATGATCCAGGAACAGATAAAAAACTTGTTTTACACACTTTCACACTTCATTCATGTGACTCAGCTTTTGCAAATAGCAATTTTGCTGAGAGTCTGCAGTAGTAGTGACTATAATAAGGAAATTATTTTCTTTACGTTATTACATTTTATCTTATGTTGAACCTAAAGTTGTTTATGAAGCTGGTTAGACAGCTGATTCACATCACATCTTTAATGGGAAGCAATGAGGAAAAACACACTAAAAGTAGTTACACAATAAGCTTAATTGAAAAATTATGGATCAGCTCTTACTTAAGGAATCAGCCAAGGTACAGATGTACTGCCCTTTATTGTGCTTGGACCAGAGACAAATTCTGCAGTCAAAGCACTAAAATTATTGTGTGGGGTTTGGATCATCCTCCTCCTGTAGACAGTTTATTCAGGGTCAAACTTTGGGTTAGCCTTTGCTCTTTATGAAGAGGGTACTGGAGGAAGTGGGCACAGTGTGCTGGTGACAGTGTGTGTGAGCACATGTGTGTTTGTGGCTTTGACCTGCAAAAAAATGATAGGACTGCACAAAGCAAAGGTCTTACTCCAAACCCTGCTGAACTGTTAGTTTCAAGCATGCTCTCATAAAGTTATAAAAGCAGTAGTAAAATAAGAAAGTCAGGAAAAGCAAGCTACTTAGAAGACTGCAATACTGAGTAATCATAATTTGAATTTATTAAAAAAAAAAAAAAAAAAAAGATGTTTTGAGGTGGTTTCTGTTCCTTTAACATATACAGAAATTATCTGGAGAGGGAAAATGCAGGGTGGCTGTAAGAACTGAAGTCCATGAGTCCCTTGCTGGTGTAAACTTGGAGACCTATCTCATGAGGTATTATGATTAAGAGGTAAAAATATATACTTAAACTTTGAATACTGCAAATTGAACTTGGATTCAGTTTTCAGCCTCTAATTTCCATCCCTGTCTTCATGTAACCATTAATTCAGTGTTCAGTCTCTCTTTTGTTTCTCTTAAACTAAATCTTTGTGTGTTAAACTGGGATTCTGAAGTTAAATATCTCTAATCAGGACAGACTTGAAACCAGGACCAATCACTAAGCACTAGATTCCTACATCCTCATATCCTTGCACATAGTGTAGACTTACCTGATCTCTTCACTGACCTGCCTTTCTTTTGGTTCGTAATTAGGGGAGATCTCAGAAGAAGACCTGGAATGCTGTGGAGCATATGACTGCCTGACTGATACCACTAACAGCACTGGGTCAGAAAGACCCTCCAACTCCTTAATCTACACACTGGTAGGGGTCTATACTGGTGAGTAATCCACACAATCTTTAATCAATATCACTGATGGAGAGCCTAGTACTAATGGAATCTAGCATGGTTTGCAGATTAAGTTTCTGACTTTCTCCTTCAATCAAACTTGCTAAAGGAAAATGAGATATGTGAGAGCTATAAACAACTCCTTCCTAAATAATTTGAATGATTTTTGCCAGAGCTTCATCATTTTTATCTAAAGGAGAAAGATATTCTTTACATTTTTCACCTGGAATAAAGCTGAAGCCCAATGTGGTAACCCAAATTCATCCAGGCAAATTGGCATATCTCCCATTTAGTAACTACAGCTGCTATAGACCTTCCTTGCACAAGGATAGAAAAGAATTAAAAACAGGGAAGCTGATGCCATTAAAAGGAAAAATAGATGTGCGAGGATTAACTGAGTGAGGAAAGTTCCAAGAAGTATCCCACTCAAAAGAAGTTATTCTCTGGATAAAGGAACATATCTGGTAAGGCAATGTGCACCTTAGCTCTGTCAAAATATTTTCGCAGTCTCTGAACATAGATTTTGTCTCTGTGCTGAGACAGAAGCATAGAATTTGCTATACACTCCAGCAGAGTGTATGTGATCCGGGCAAGGCCAGGTCTCAGTGCACAAGGGCATTGCAGAAAACTCTTCCTCTGTCCCCGTCCTCCACCTATTTGGTGGGAAAGTGTAAAAAATACGTCCCCGCTCTCCTCCCAGAATGTACTGGAGCTGATGACTTTCTGCTAAAGGCATGTTTGTCTGTAAAGTTTAAATTTAAATCTCATGACTAATATATACAGGACTTCCTTAGGCTTTGTGCATGCAAAGTGAATGTAACCCTGCTTCCTCCTGACCCTGCGTCAGTGGGGTTTTGTTTTTCTTTTAAGCTTTTAATAAAAGAGATGTCTTTTCTTACCTCAAGGGAAAGTAACTGGATGAATAATTCATTCACAGACATTTTTAAAATGTGTCCTCTATTTGGTGGCTGAATACTTGTTTTGCCCAGCTTGGGGAGAGACAATAATGGATAACTCTTCTGCTGTTTCATTTTCTCAAGGACTGTGAATTTATGGCCATACCAACTGCTATTAAGCCATGCCGTTATCTCCTATAATTGCTTTTTATTAATTTAACATATTTGTTACACATATTTTTTCTGAAAACGTGGATGTCCTGCTCTCATCCATTTATGTCCAGCAATTAGTCCAAAAGTACTAATAAACACTCTGGAAGATGCAATAATAACTTGAATAATGAAGGACTTACAGCTCAGCCAGTGGAGAACCAGGACACTGGAGAAATTCTAGGAGACATGGATGAAAAATAATAAGCAATAAAAAAAATGAGACAATTTGTTGTAAGTCTGCTGATGTATTTGGATATTAAAAATTCACAGTAGAGACAATATCCATAAACATAACACAGGAGTACATTAAATAAGCAAAGTGGATGGAAAGAGATGTCCAGTTCTCATCTTACTCTGAACTGTAGTTCTTTCCATGGATGGAATTCTAGTCAGCATAAGTGAGGAAACATTACCATGCCCTGCATCTGTAATGAAGCAATCAATTGCGAATCTATGGTTGTCTCATGTATATTATGAGGCGTGGTTACCTTCTTGATAACTTGAAAAAAATTGTTCTGATTCACTACACAAGCAACTATACATGAATGATCATTTTCTGATTATCTATGTTATATATTCTTTTATATGCTGCTTCTGCTCGGAAATTATGGGTTTAAAGCTATAACTTCCATCTTTTCAAGTTAGCTAGAGCTGCTCACTATCATCTTCAAAACAGCCTATATTGCATACTCAAAGCATGGTTCTGAGCCAAAAAAAAAAAAAAAAAGGCACAACATATACTGGGTTTCAAGACAGCATTTATTTTTCTTTCCATGTATTTGAAAGAAGATCCCCGCTAGCCATGAAAACCTTGGCACTGGAAGTGAATACTCCTCTCTCTTGTTGATTTAAAGCCTTCTCATAGCTCCTGAGGGAGCTGTTTCTGGCCATCTCCCATCCCCGTGCCCCTGGACTGCCCAGGAAGGGTGAGCCATCACCCTCTGTGGCTGTGCAGCTGGCCCGGCAGCTGTCACAACAGGCCAGCCACAGCTAAGCTGAGGGGATTTGCAAGTGCACAGCTGTATGCAGAAGATGTGCATGTAGATCAGGCCTTCTTGTTTATACAGAAATGGCCTTTACACTGAAGCGGAATCTGAGGCTGCTGCCAAAATATCCCACAGAGGGCTGGTAACCAGTCAGAACAGTAACAGCAGCAAGCGACTTCCCATCATTCTTTCAGCATTCCTCAGTTTTTCATGAACTTTTTGTTTTGTTTTGTTTTGTTTTGCAGCTAGTGGTGTGCTAGCTGTGTTGCTGGTTATTATATTTCTGGACCAGATCAAATCTAACCAAGCAGAGACTGAGAAAGAAAAATCATCCTTTTGGTCTACATTCTTAGCAACTTTCTGGCATCTTAAAGATAAAAGACAGTGTCTTCTCATCCCTCTGACAATGTACAGTGGGTTTGAGCAGGCATTTCTTACTGGTGACTACTCAAAGGTATGGATGTAAATGAAAATATATTTCTTTCTGATTTTTATGTGCTGTTGCGTCTTGCTATTACATCTGACCAATGAAGATGTTTTTAATGATGATTTGTGGATTGCAAAATTACTGCTTACTTCTACATGAATGACCTCTGAGTGACATCTTCAAACAGCAGTAAATATGTCCCTTGGAACAACCTCAAAAATAATGCAGCAGAGAGCTTAACTCACCAGTGAAGGCCACAGCAGAGAGCTACAGGTTCAAACTCTTCACCTTGTTGTAAATAACAAACTGGGAGAAAAGCCAGAAGCCAGCAAAGCTTTCATGTCTTCCTTCCTCTTCTGGTTTCCCTAGAGCTTGTATAAATGCAAGTCAGCGCACATTCCACATATTTTATTTTGACAACCTTTACAGTAAAAGGGCAAGTCCTCAACATGGCTGGCTGAAAGCCCTCACCAGTCACTACTGCAACAGGTCCAGAGATTGAAGTGATTAAAACTATCTCTGCTCCTCCAGTTTCTTGACAAACCTAGACATGCAGCAGGTGTGTTCTCCTAGCTTTTGTTGAGAAAGCCTCCAAGGAAAGAGGGCAACCTTCCTGAGCTTTTTCTTTCATGCTTAAGGTTTCACACCTTGCATATAAATCAGATGGAATGGTGCACTTATTGCTGTGTTGGAACAGATTGAAAGGAGCACTCCATGGCAACCTGCACTGGTCCTTTTATTTTTTGGGAGCTGCTCTGTCATGACCATAGTGTCAATTGTCAATTTTCTTCTCTTGGGCTATAATGGGAAGGGCAGAAAATTCTTAATGCTACTTCCAGGAGTTTTGTTTGTACAGCAAGCAGTGCTTAGATTTGTTCTGCTTGTTATTACCTTGTTTGCATGGCATCAGTCTGATAGGGAGCTGGGGTAGCAAAGTTGCTCCTGAAGGCCAGCTATGTCAATGCACCACAGACTTGTCAGCAAACTCTCTAGCTGTGCTCTTTTTATCTCATCCATGCTGGCTATTTACCAAACACTCAGGTTAAGATCCCTGAACTTTAGCTGTTTATTTTATCAAAGAAAATGTGACACCACAATCCCTTTTCTTCCAGAGTTTTATGACATGTGCCCTGGGGATACACTATGTTGGCTATATGATGATCTGCTTTGCAGGTATAAATTCCCTCTGCTCTCTGCTCTTCGGAAAGATCTCCCAGTTCACAGGTAGAAAACTTCTATTTTCATTAGGTAAGTAAACATTTCTTGAATGATTGATCACCACATGTAATCACATCCACTACTCCCTCCTTTGCATGTACAAAGGGATAGCTTGCTGTCAGCTATCAGTTAAAACCAAAGTCAATCTAGAGGCAGACTTCACAAACTTCATTCATGAGAAGAGAGGCAGCTCAGCTCACAGTTAAGCACTGTATTGCTGTCTTTGCCTTACATCACTTTGCTGGTGATGTAAGTTCAACCTGCTTTTGGGGGCACTATCTATGCAGAAAGTGCCCTTTATAGCTTTGATGCAGCCAATGACAAATGATCTTACAATGCAGCTGTTGAGACTTGCACTATCGTAAGTAGGATTTCTCCACTGGGCTGAAACCTCCTCACCCTTATGGAGTGAAAGAAAGTTACTGTTGACCTGAATCTCAGGAAATTACAAACTTGGAAATTTGAGTGAAAATTCAGGAAGCTTTTTAAAGGTTGGCCTGCTGTCCTTTTTACTATTTGTTCTATAGGGAGAAAAGTAGAAGAAAGTAATGTATCAAGCCAGAATAATTTAGGGATTTGTGTATGGGACAGTAATTTTCATGTTGCCTCGAGAAATGATTTGCATATTTAAGAACATCTCCTTCTCCAGAGAACATTGTTGCAATGAGTAATGGAGGCATAAAAAAATACCAAGAAATATTTCTTTTATACCTATTTATGCATTATGCATACTGAAGTGGACTAATATCTTATTTCCACTATGCAATAATTTGTATTATTAGAAATATCACTGAATAGATCAATATGCATCAAGACATTCTAGGCATTTTGTCCACAGGAAATTTTAAGCCTGGACAAGGAAGAAGAAATGTAAAGCACTTTCTGTTATAGTCACTAGCTCAAAAATTCTTCTGTCTGTTCTAGGTGTGTGTCTCAATCTATAAAACTCAGATATAAAAAAAACTCCAAAAATCAAAAAAACCAAAAACACCTCCTAGTGGCAATAAACAATTAAATCTCCCACAGAACTGTAGTGCTAGAAATGGAAGACCTCTGAACCTCTCAATTCTGTTTAGCGGTCATTTTACTCAGCCTCTGAATGTGCACCTGTGGGGGGAAAAATCTGTGACTCATTTACAAACCACTTTTCAAAAGAAAGACCCAAAGCCACCCTCTAGAAATCCCTAATTGTCCCCTCTGGCGGTAAATGAAAACTTCATTTAAGACAAGGAGAGCAGAAGTGTGTTTGCTCCCCCTTCCCACATGCCTCACATTGTGACTGCAAGCCTTTCAGAAGCTACTTCTCCTACTCAGTGGTTTATGTCCTTTGGGCTACAGCTATATCAGCACTGAGGATTTCTCAGCTCTGGACACTGCTCAGAATTATGAATCAGACACTGTGAAAGGCCTGCATTGTCTTGTATTTCATGTGATATCAACTCAGCCAGAGCAAAGCTCGATGAACCAGAGATTTTAAGATTGCCTTGTGTTTTCGTTGGGGGTAGAATAAAAAAGTGTTATCTACCACAATCTGTCCTGATTATAATTGCATCTATATTTCTCTTTTTTATTGCCTTCTAAATCAACAGCTGCAGTTCTGAACACAAGCTGTATAATAACAGTACTGCTCTGGAAACCTGATCCCAAGCAGCTTGCTGTGTTTTTTGTAATCCCTGGTCTTTGGGGCATATCTGATGCTGTTTGGCAAACACAAACTAATGGTAAGTCCCAGTGACAATGAAATGTATTCTCTCGGATATAAGAGTCTGCATCTTTGAATCTATGAAACAATGCTGCATAACAATGATAATGGCTTTAAGACAGCACCAAAAATATGTTAACTCATTGGGAAGCAGAAGAAATAGAACAAGTTGGGAGTAAGAATGCAAAATACTCATTGAACCAATTTTTCCAGCATGAAGAGAGAAGAATACTGCAGAAGACAGTAATGGGTTTTCAGAATAAATATTCTGGAGGAGTATAAGTATTTCAAAGTAATTTAGAAACTAAGAAGAATTATACATTTAGTCTGTCTTTTGCAATAAAAGAGAACACTCTGGACAAAAATTAATTCAAAGCTCAGCAACAAAAGAAGAAAATTGTCTGTTAGGAGATATTGGAAAAAAATGTAGGAGAAAACCACAGAAAGCAATATCATGCAGCCAAGTAACTTCATACAGCTCTGATTTACTCCATTTCAAAACTCATAATCCATGTGATAGTGCATAAGTAGGCAATAAAAAGGAGCAAGGTCATGGGGCACTTCTCCTTGAAGGAAGACTAAAAAGCTAGAAAGATTTAGCCTGGACAAGAGGAAAGCAGTCAGTAAGGTAATTAATTTTCTGGAGAAGGTGACTTGAAATTCAGTGTATCTCCTAATAACAGGACTAGTGGCACCAGATAACCTTATCAGGCAGAAGTCTTTATGGAAATAAAAATGAACAATATTTCTCACACAATGCATAGTCAAAGTATGGAATTCTTTGCCAAAAAGTTAAGCTGGAGTTATATCACATCATTACAAAATCACTTCAGGGGAAAGTGCTCCTCTGGGCACACATCAGGTTGTGTGTCTTGGCCTTCCTTCCTCTGATCCCTTTGGTTATTTCAAGGCCTTAGAAGATTTCACCCATTAGATAAAGTGTCATGTTCCTCTTGGAGAGCCAGATGAAAAACATGGCAGTCCATTGCCTGTCACTGATAGTGATCTCCTTTCAAGCACATGTCCCTGCCTCTACACACAAGGACCAGCATCCTTCTCTGCCCCTCCAGCAGCTCCAGCTCATATCCCCTAGAGGAGAGCTCGTACATACATCAAGGGACACCCTCTCATCATCTCACATCCTTACCAGAGGCTTGTGCCTTAGGTAAAAATTTTAAATCAGTGCTTTTAATAATACTTAGGGTCATGGAAGGAGAACATCAGTGAGGATTTGCTCCCTCTTAAGCAAAGCTGTTCATTCATTTCCCGCTTCTTCAGCCACAATCTTTCTGACTGCTCTGCAGGTTTCTTCCTAACACATTTGAGAGCTTATCTTAGTCTTCCACTGGAATAAAGAGCCTGTCCTTTGTCCTGCTTCTGTCTTATCCAGCAAGCCTTGTCCATGGATACTGTCCTTCTTTCATAATCACAGTGGGGTTAGGGATGGAAAGGACCTCCAGACTTCAACTCCCTTGCTAAAGCAGGGCCATCCAGGCACAGCCACTTACTCAGGACCATGTCCATAGACCCTCTGATATTTTTCAGAGAAAGATGCTCCACACCCACTCTGGGCAACCTGTGACAGTGCTCAGTCACCCTTATAATAAAAAAAAAAATTGTGATATTCAGAGGAAAGCACATATATTTCAACTTATGCTCATCACCTCTTGCCCACTTTTCTTGGACACCACTGAAAAGAGCTCGGCTTTGTACCCTCTCTTCTAGGATTTACATAAATTTGAGATGTCGGTGAGGAGCATTTTTCCTCAGTAAGGTCCCCGCATGACTGACAAAAATGTACCTGAGGCCCACATTAGGGAAAAAAGGGGTAAGTACAGAGGTCTTAAGTATTCGAGAAGGTGGCTGGGAAGTGACTGTAGTTTCCAAACCCCCAGATGAGGCAAAAACAGTGGACAGTGCTTCATGCTTACTTGATGGTGAGTGAGCTCTGCAAGATGTGACAGGATTAATCTCTATTTGCAGCACTGTTTCAGGTCATCTCCATTGCCAGATTCGTGCAAGATACTTGTCAAAATTTCACATTTGTGTGAAATTTTTCACATTTGGAAAACACCCAAATGTTCTTTTTCCTTGCATAGTGGGGTTTTTTTTTTTTTTTTTTTTTTTTTTGGGGTTTTTTTTTTTTTTTTTTTTTTTTTTTTTTTTTTTTGGTCTGTACCTTACTCAGCTGTTTCACAGCTCTCATTTGTAAAATGATACAAAGTTCACTTTGTCACAGTGAAATATCAAGTGATGACATAAAAGTGATGAATAGAGAGGTGCAGTGACATTACCTCACAATGCTGCATCCCAGAACAGGATCTTCAGTTTGTCATACCCATGTAGAACTACATGTCTTCTCCCCTTCAGAAGTTTTATGCAGATATACATCACATAAGAAATTCCTAGCATCAAAGACTATGAGGTGAGATATGACCTCCAAAATAACATTGGTTTACAATGTCTGTGGTCCTTCCTTTGCTAAGCTCTCATGAGTGCTGCTTGGGTGCCAGTAGATTAACCAGTGAAGACATAAATGGCATTGTGCCACATACTTAAGGCATTCTTTGGTTTGCTTTGTGCTCCTGTGGATATTTAATACTCGAGTACCCCCTAGAGGATATGTAGGCTCACGGTGGATGAGTCACTTCATCTTATAGAGTTTTCCTGACATGTTTGTGTTAGTGTGTGGACGTTCTGACTTATTTCCAATGAAAGCTACTTCATTTCAGAGTGTGTAGTGCTCTTTCTTACCTAACTTGAGCACAGATGCTGATATTAACCACTGACAAAAATTGTACCTAGGCATAACAATTGTGTAGCACAGAACTATCAGGTGGACTACAGTAAAACCAAGTTCTTTCCAGGCTGATTTGTGTCTTTAGAAAGAATATGAGTCTAAAGAGTTTATAAAGCCAAACTCTAAAATAATTTCCAGCAGTCCTGTTGTATACCCATGCCTACTAGTACCAGGGCAACAAGTAGGAAAACAGACAGTGGCAGAAAACCAGGATAGTTTCCATGGAAGTGAACTGTAAAATCTCAGAACTAGCAGCCTCTTCACTCACTCAGCCCAGCAGGTCCTGCTTAAGCTCATCCAGGCAATTTGCTTCAAAATAGCAAACGTGTACCAGCTGAAAACCAGAGAACCTTTAGACATAGAACTGCCGTGGCATCAGAAACCTTCCTAATATCTTTCCAGAAGATAACACTGGGCATATCAGGAAATTAGAATGAACAATTTGTACTTTTTCATTTATTAGGCAAAACTATGAAGGGCTATCATATCTACACTCCACTCAGCCAGTTTAATGAACTAAGTACATCTTGTGATACACTTGTCCAGATTTTCCATCATGCCCAAACAATTCAGTAAATGTCCTCTTGCAGTCATCAGGACACATAAGCTTTTCATACAGATGAAGTCTTCCCCTGTTTAACAAAACTGAAGGGGTAGCTGAGTCTACTCAGATTTTCAGAGAACTTTGCATTCCTCTTTGCCTTTTGGCTGAATGGACAAATTTCCAACAGATGTGTTGTTAGACAAGTGGGTAAAAAGAGTCAAAGTTCATGATATTCTTCTCCTTCCCTCTGTGCATACCATGTCTGAGTGAGAGTAAATGTCCTGTTCTTTATGACCACTGGTGCTAGCTCAGCACCCAGAGAAAAGCAAGCTCTCTCCTCTTCCCTGTGTGCTTCACTAGTCAGACCTGGAAGCTGGAATCCCTCCCTGGATCCCAGTGGTGGGTGTGCAACTGACTGAGCTCATTGGGAGCTTCCCAGTGAACACAACTGCATTAGGATGATCAGTTGAACTGAGTCTCTATGTCAAGTAAATTTTCCAGTTGCTGCCAGAAGTTCTGTATGCATCAAGGATATTCTATTTTCTAACCCATCCAGGAGCTGAAAATTTGAAAACCTGGTTGATTAATAGAGACATGTCTTACCTGCATACTTAATCTGGGCCCATGTTGTGAAAACTTGTGAGGATTTGGTATGAGCTAATCAACAGTCATACACAGAGACTCTGTAATGTCAAGGCCTCCTTTTCCTCCTTACTTGCTAGTTCACCAGTGCAAAACCCTTGATTTTTGTAGCTAATAATTTGAAAAAAGAAGTCCTGCCATCTTACTTCAATAGATCACATCCTTTCTTCCTTCCTCGCAATTTGTTCCCCTTTTCTTCCATGTTCTCTATTTTGTCATGTTTGTTTTGTTATTTCACTTGTTACAATTCACAGAAGCACAACAATTTTTTAAGACAAGGCTTGTATTTTCCTTTCTCTGCCATTTATGAGGGAGTGTATGTCTTCCCCATTGTGTTCTATTTATTCCCTTTGCAGAAAATATGTGGTTGCAGATTTAATCTTCACAAGACATGTTTTTCCTTCCTTTCTTCCTTCCTTCCAGCACTTTATGGCATTTTATTTGAGAAGAACAAGGAGGCTGCCTTTGCAAATTACCGTCTGTGGGAATCAGTTGGATTTGTCATCGCCTTTGCTTACAGCACCAAATTGCAAGTCTACATCAAAACCTACATTGTACTGTCTGTGCTTGTGCTGTCCATGGTGACCTATGGAGTGGTGGAATACCTGGAGGCTAAGAGCTCCCCTGGGACACCTGCTGCTACAAAGAAGGAAAATGGAGGACCCCACTCCCAGGAAACACACATGTAATCCAACAGGGTCAGAGTGATGGAGGCAAAGCAAACTGGCCAGCTCCTTACAGGCATGCCTCCAAAGGTGTTCCAGTGTGTACTGTATCAAGAAAGATGGTAAAGGAACAGATTTCAAGGCCATTACAATGCAAATGTCTCAAGAGTACAAACCTCCTTTGACATCTCACCTTTATAAGGGAAGATTATCTGACTTTACCCTTCCATGTATATGACCAACTAATTAATAAAGTCTTAAGAAATCTAAGCAAGATTCCTAAAGTCCTCACCTTTTTGTTTCTCTAGATAAGACCTAGTATGGCTTTACAGTCAAACCACATGCAGAATGAAAGAAGCAACTGCATTTGCTCAGTTGATTGCAATTAACACACATAATTTCATGGAACCTTTAATTATAAAGATTTATGTTGTTTTTATGCTGCATTCTTTAACACCCGCTGTAAATTACATCAGCCTACAGACTAGCTTTATCTGCAGTTCATATCTGCGCACCACAGAATCAACCAACCACGGAGTCCACCAACGTGTCTTAGGTCAGCAGGCAGCTGTGAGTCTGCCCATGTCACCCCTCTATCTCAGCACTCTTTCTCTTTTGATTTAACTGTCTCCAATTTTTCTGTCACCACTTACAGCAACTTCATTCTAAAAGAGATGCCTACTACAAGACAAAATACTTCAGTGATTATGACTTTGCCCCACTTTCCCATCCAGGGACAGAGCTGTTTTCAAGATGAGCAGCCAGGCCATGGGGAACCTTGCCATGAGAAGAGCACAGGTAACAGTGCAAGACAGATAGGGAGAAAAGGAGGATGGGCTTACACTGTAATAAGTTCTTGAGATCTACATGTATCCTGTAGTGGCTCATCTCATTTCAACTTCTCTTTAGTTTTGCCCATATTTTTTCTAGATATGGATTTTTGTGTTTTTACTGCAAAGAGAAGGGTGTTACAGTGCAGTGTCCCTGCATATTAATGAGAGAGCAATGTACAGGCCTCATGTTCATTACTGGTAATGACACATTCAGATTCTCTGTGTGAGGCAGACAGCACCAAAGGAATTGCAGACAAATGCTCTTCATGTCCAAGACTAGTGCTACCTTTGGAAATAAACTACATATAGCTAGCTGAGTTGTTGCCTGCCATGGAGACAACATTTGAAACTACTTCCTCTCAGTTACTCACCACAGCAGGAGGATGAAGTGCCACACAGTGTGACAACAATAACACAATTTGTGTGACAAAAATCCCCAAATTGTTATATCTTTTAAACAGCAACAAACTTCGTGCTACTTTACTGTCTTTCTTACATTTTTTGTTCCCAACGATCTGGAGTCCCCTTCAGACTTCACTTGTGTTGATTCATGGCTTTTCACATGATGAGCTTTTTTCCAGGTTTCATACAATAAAGTAAAATTTATTATGTCCTGCAGACGAGAAGGTGACTGGTAGGCTCCCTCACGTGTGCAGCTTTCTCTTGTACCTTTGTCCTGTCAGCTCAAAGGCATGCTGTTGATATCTCTGTTGGAAATACAAATGGTAAAACTATTATGGCTGAAGAATCCTGACAACCTCCTATCTGCCCAGCATGCACAGATGGATATTCTAGGCTGCTGCTGATTTTCACCCCACACTGCTTCCCCCTCATGAAGAAACACAGCAGTGTGTTTCATTGTATCTCTGAATCCTCCTCTGATTCTCTTTTACAAAGTGATGTTCAATGGCAAGTGAGGCAAAGAGGATTTCTGAGGTCAACATCATGATGAAAATCTCATTTGTGTGAATGTAATAACTTTTTATTTGTAACAACCCAATACAGAAGTCAGAGTCCTGCTACATGAGATGCTCTACAACCTCAGAACAAAAAACCAAAAAGATGACCCTAGACACTATACAGTTTGTTTTGTTTTTTGGTTGGTTTTTTTTTTTCTTTTTAATGTAGTTTCTCTTTTTACTTCTGTACTGAGTCTGGCTGGGATGGAGTTAATTTTCTTTGTAGCAGCCCATATTGCTGAGTAGTGTTTGCTGAACATCCAGGTTTTCACTTTTTCTCCACTCTTCCCCCTCAGTGAGTAGGTTGTAGGTGCCCAAGAAACTGGGAGGTGGCAAAATCAGGACAGCTGAGACAGAGTGATGAAAGGGGTATCCCATGCGACATAAGCCATGCTCAGCAATAAAAGCTCAGCAAAGAAGCAGGAAAAAGGTGTTCTGACCTTGTTGAGGACTTCAGCATCACTGACATTGAATCAGCACGGGAGATAGGACATTGTGGCCTGTGGTTTAAGGAGCTGGTTTTCACTCTTGAATTTTCACAGGATTTTGTGTAGTCATTTCCTGAATGGCAGCTCTTCCATTGCACAGGGACCGCGAGGAAAAACTCTGTTCCCTTGGGAATGAAAGCCGCAGCTATAGGCGGCAATGAACATGCTTTTGCCTGGAACAGATGAATATAAAGGTGCCCATTAGTCTTGGACATGACTTAAATGAAAATTGCTGCATGTTGTTATGCATAGACAATACACAGTTATAAAAGCTTATGGTTTTGTTTATTGTAAAGACTGTAGGAATTTTGCTGCATAGTATATATAAAAAAATTTAGGCACAAATTCAGCTAGGAACATGTATTCATTGAAATGAAAGAAAATAAATGGTAGTTGAGGTTGCTGTGGCGTGAGGCATCTTCTCTCCCATGGCCAAGAAAGACTCCACAAGTCCTGCTTTAGTCTAGCAGGTAGTAAATAGCATAGATCTGTCTGTGCTGAGGCCTCAACCAGCAGCAGGATGCAGGCAGACTCACCCTGCTTCACTGCATGTTTCACTACCTGACAAGCTCTTACCTCACCCCCAACAACAGTGTTCATTTTGCAGTGAAACAATAGCTTTTATCAGTCTGACTCTGAGTGCGTGAGGTTAACAAGAGCAGGTGTAGCTGCCTCAAAGGATGCTAGCTTTGGGGTTTGAAGTGGTAGCCAGATGAATCCCTCCCCAGTCATGTTCCTGAAACCTTCCAGTGCTCTCTGTTGATGCTTATCTACTGAATGTTCTGTGTCCCATGGTGTCACAGAGAATGGCATCCTGCTCTCCTCATGGGGCCAGGCTGGATGGGGCATTGAGCAGCTTGGGCTAGTGGGAGGTGTCCCTGCCCATGGCAGAGGGGTTGGAACTGGATGGTCTTTAAGGTTCCTCCCAACCCAAATCATTCTGGTTCTATGATTCCAAGCTCTCTGCTTCTGGGCGCTGGTTGGCAGCAGCAGTATGTCGGTGTTAAACTCGAGCACAGTCAGAGACAGCTGTGGTAGTTTCTGCATTGTGGAAGAATGTCTGCAAACTCACAGGTGGGTTTGCAAGTTATTAAGGAATGGGCTGAACATAGAACCCGTTGGGAATGAAGGCTGGTGAAAAGATGAGAGTTCATCTGGGCACACATTTGTGCATAGTGAAGTGAGTGAAATTTATCTTCATTCATTTAGACCAATGCCTAATCCTAGAGTTAGTGCTTCATAAATGCACTTCAAGAGCTTCTGCTTATATGTGATATGACTTTCTCAAAAGTGGATAGGTGTTCTTTGTTAGTTAAAGTGGTTTGTTTTCTTTTCCTGGCATTCAATTATCTGGGAAATTGAAGCAGACGTTTGTTATATCTAGGTTTGGTGAGCCAATTTCCTGTAAACTGGCATTCCCTGAATGTTGAATTTCATTCCCTGAATGCCAGAGATATGAAAGAAGTTCATTAATATAAGCTGATATGAACAAAATACCAAAGAAAGCTTCATTGTTCAGACATTATCAACAGATTAATTTATGATTACCTAGTGGAGACTGTGATGGCACAGTTTATCACACACTGGCTGCATGTTCAATAGCAGAAACACTAATACACTTTTCTACACTGCTCGACTGCTAATAGCATTGTCGAGCAGTGTAGAAAAGACAAAGCAAACTGCAGTCTGTAAGGTGACTCATCCAAATTCTTACCATGGCTGTGTCCAACTGCATAATTTTTTTTCTTAATTTAATGTTTGCCCCAGGATTTGAACCAGCTCCTGTAAATCTTGTTTAGTTTGGTATGGTTGAGTTTTTTGGTCTGTCTTTTTTGTTTTCTAGTTGGTTGGTTTTTGTTTGCTTATTGCTTGTTACTAATGTTTTCTTAGCATGTGATGTAGTGCTGTTTAATAAGCAGACAAAGCAAAGAATTCCCAGGAAAGATAGTGGAAGCAAAAATAGCCATCATTTTCTGGGATCATCACATTAGGTTTGTATGCAAGCTAAGCAGCAAGCCCCTGAATTTCTAGGGCTGAAAAGAATGACTGACTACAACAGACACAGCAAGGCTGCTACTCCTTCATGGTATTTTATGTAAGTCCAATTACATCACAACCATACTTCAGTAACTGCTTACCACATTTATCTCCTGTTGCCTATAAAGCCCTCACTCAAGAAAAGCTCTCACTAAGGATAATTCAACTTCAGACTGTCTCTTATCTATAAGGGGATCCTCAGAAATAATCCCAGTGCAGTTTAGATCTTGCTGCCTTCCTTCCAACACCAGTTTAAACCCGAGATGGAAGGTTACTGCAGGTTTAATTGTAGAACATCACAAAATATATTCATATACATATTAATATTGGAATATAGAATTACATATTATTTTGCAATATGGAAAGTAATTGTTACAGAAGTTCAAATTTTGGCCACAGTCTCAGCCATTAATGATGCCTAAACTCTCTTTCCAATAGGAGCCTTATTCTTCACACCCTGGACTAAAGCTTGGTCAAATCCCATATATTTTTAGGCAACAACTCCCTCACTACAGAATGTAAGATGGTCCAGGACTACTTTTGACCCATGCGCTACAGGACAAAGGATTCACAGAAAGAAAGTCCTGTGGTAAAGCAATCATATGCTTCTAACCCCACTACCCTGCTTCCCAGCCTTCTTGAAAAACCTCCTGGACACTTCTCTATGCATTGGACAGCTATGACATAGGTACATCATAAGAGAGAGC